TAAAATGGATTTCTATACTAAAAAGATGATAATTTTAAGTATTTTGCTATTATAGTTTGAAAGTGCACTTATCCTGTATTTATCATTTACATCACATTACTGCATTCAATAAACATTTATTGAGTACCTATTATGTGAATATAACACAACACCTGACTCCAAGTAATTCCCAGTCTAGTGGGGAGGACAATGTGAAACCCTTCAAGGTGCTATTAATATAGGTATGGAAAAACTGCTACAAGAACAGGAATGAAAACATGGGTGTCAGACATTGATATTCTAGAAATATCATTCCCTATGTCTGCTTACCTGGATGGGAACACACAGAGCAATGAGCTGGTTTTTTAGCAGCCTGTGGTTGTGGGTTAGAGTAACAAGATGTTTCACTCCACTGATTAAACCTTAATAGAAAATGATTTTTTAAAAAAGAAAAAAAATAAGGTCACACAAATGCTATGATCTCAAATATCAGTCTATTCTATTCCCTTTCATCTGACTAATTATTTTCCCTTTGGTGGTAGATAAAGTTGCTGGCCTAGCCTAGGAAAACCCTCAGTCACAAGTTTTTTTTTTTTTTTTTAGACGGGGTCTTGCGATGTTGCCCAGGCTAGAGTACAGTGGCTATTCACAGGTGCGATCTCACTACTGATCAGCGCGGGAGTTTTGACCTGCTCAGTTTCCGACCTGGGCCAGTTTACCCCTGCTTAGGCAACCTGGTGGTCCCCTACTCCTGAGAGGTCATCATACTGATGCTCAACTTAGTGTGGACATCTGATCGGCAGAGCGCACTACAGTCCAGAATTCCTGGGCTCAGCGATTCTCCGGCCTTAGCCTCCCGAGTAGCTGGGACTACAGGCATACGCTAAGTCCAGCAGTCGCAAGTTTTAAATGTGGCCCAAGGACAGCAGAACTACAAGACAGGAGAATGTGTGTGTATATCTATATGTCTATATTGCTACATAAATGTATTAATATATATTAATTCAGCCTTTTTTAAAAAGAGAATCTTGTTAGTCAGCAATATGTGAGTAGAATGATTTGTAAATGTCTGTTTTTGATCTCGGCTCTTTGTGCCAGAGTATAAAACAAACAGAATCTTGAACATGAACATTTCTTTATATCAGAAATAAGGGTAAAGAGCAATAGAAAAAATTAAATAAAACATTAATCTTCTAGGTAAAAACTGTTTCAAAAATCTAGGACATTTGAAATGATTTCTTAATCTCTTATGCAAATAGCAAAATACCATTACCTGTTTAATAAAAGATTTTAAGAGAAATGTATATTTCT